GTTATTTTTTTAAATATGATAATTAAGTATTCTGATAGAATTTAATAATTATCTTAATTATATTTTAGATTTTTTATATTTAAAATGAGATGTTTATTCTTTATTTGATTATGTTTATCTGCAGTTAGTTACACGAATTCAAACATAAAGCTTTAATAAGTTGTACTTATGCATAATTTACTTGTAATCTTGAATTTAAGTAATATGCATTAATAAACAGTACTTTATGCATAAAAAATGGTTTTTAAGAGTTTTCGTCAAATATTTTATAATAGTATAGATAACATGTTTTATAAGGATCCGGTATTTGGTGTTTTGCATAAAATATGGTTTAGTATGTTATACCCTCAATTTTAGAGTTATTTGTCACCTCTTATAATTTTTTTTTACTCTTTTAATACCCATTTGATCCTTTCACTCTTTCCTTAGTGTAAATTGTTCCTAAAGATGAGAAAAAACTGAAAGTTCGGAATTTGTGAGTTGGTCTCGTCAAAAATTGTTGCCCTTGCAATGACAACAACTTAAAGATTATGCAGTAATTTTGTTTCCAAGTCAATGCAATGAAGAGTCGGCATAGGAAAGGGTCAACCCTAGAGTATTCATGAATGAGGAGGAGAAATGGACAAAGAAAGTCAAGACAAAATGGAGCAAGAAGACACCATTGAAAGGTCATTTTCCTCGGGTTCATGACCAAAATAATCCCTTAAATGTAAACAATTACACTTTTAACCCTAAAATAAAAATAACTCTTACAAACTAACCCTACGTTACGCACTGCGCACCACACAGTGCGTATAGGGACTATTTTACAATAATTGTTTTGGTAAACCGAGGCTGACAAGGATTGACAAGTGCTTGCATGTGGGCCTCACCCTTACGCACCGGCCAGTGCGCGGTGCGTAAGGGCCCCACCTCCATTTTATTTTATTTTTCACTTTTATTCCTTCCCAATACACACCATTCAACTTATTAATTTTTCCTCCTCAACCTCTAATATATCAGGTATTTTTAAATATGAGATATATACGTTTTAATCCAGTTTTTACAAAAAAAAATATCTTCTCCAAATTCTCAAGGATCATTGTCTGTGATTGAGAAAGTTAGAGTATGTGTTTTTGGTGGAAGTTCGTGGTAGTTAGTCAACAACGTAGTAGATTATATTTCAAAAATGCAAAAAGTTATTGTATTGTTGCCGATACACTTGGCATTTCCAGGTTTAATCAATTATTTAGCTAGAAAATTAAACTTACCTGATTTTCAAAATCTTTTTAAGTTAACACATAAATCTCTATCATCTGATTCAATTGTCGAGTTATTTGACACCGATGATACGAGACATTTTTTTGGCTAATGGTGTGGATATCTCACCGCAAGCCCTAAGATTGTATGTTTGCGATCGTGGTGTTGAAAACAATCAATCGAACTCAAACCAAGAGATTGTTACAGCCACTATGTATGGGGTAGAGCACCCTCAGTATATATTTCCACTCGTTCCATATGCACCAAACCAATGTGAGCCGGGTTACAGCCAAAACATACTTCCACTTCATATTCTTGTAACCCTAAAATTTAAAACTCTTACAAATTAACCCTACGTTACGCACCACGCACATGGTGCGTATAGGGACCATTTTGCAATAACTTTTTTTTGGTAAACCAAGGTTGACAAGGATTGGCCGGTGTATGCATGTGGGCCCCATCCTTATGCACCAGCACCGGCCGGTGTGTAAGTGCCACTGGGGCCAAGCACCCTCAGTATATACTTTCACTCGTTCCGCATGTGCCAAACCAATGTTAGTCGGGTTACAGCCAAAACATATTTCCACTCATTCCATACCAATAGTTCCATAGTGATGAGACAACATCTAGCACTCTATATCATTCATACCAAACTCAATATCAACCGTTTCAAACCTCACCTAAAACATATCAATCTCAGTATCACCCGTTTCAAAGCCAGGGGATGTAAGAAACTCCATATCAGTCGTACAACACTCAATATAAGTCATACAAAAATCGTTTGACGTACCAATACCAAGGTCTACCATCTGATTATGACATACGTATTTCTAAAATTTCTGCCGAAAAATATGAAGCCAATTGAGAAGACCCTGAAAATGCATCTGACAAATATAAGGTTGATATTGATCCTTATTATGGGGCTGTCTCGGGGGACTGTTTGTATCATCTCAATACATATGAATATCTGGGGCTACCATCAGATAGTAGTGATAGCAAATCGGATTAAGTTGTGCTTAATTGTTGTATTCAAGTGTTTCTCCTTTGTAAATTTTGTCTTTAATGCTTTGTATGTGTAGATAGTCTTTCCTTTGTAACGTGTAGTAAGTTGAACTCATTTGTAATCTTCTAAGAATTTGAATACAATTACTATTGGTGAAAATTCTCTCTAATATTCAATATTCTGTTCTTGATTGTTGTTAATCTGATTGAAGATTTGGGATTCACAAAGATAAAGAAGGGGCTGAGGAGGAAGATAAAGAAGGTCTTGGTAGGAGTAATATTGTGCTCTGGTGGGTAGTAATTTATTTTGGGGCATGCCTCCCCCATTACCAAGGCCAGTCCCTATTGTGAAGCCTAAAGAATCGGCCCCCAAAATATCAACGTTCTAAACGAGTGAAAGTTGGGCAAATTTTCAAGAGTAAGGAAGACTTGAAACTATCCCTAGGACTAAAATGTCTTGAAGAGGGTTACCAGATGAAAACCACCCGCTCCATGCGATCTAGGTTCGAAGCAATATGTATATTAGAAAAGTGTGAATTGCGAATAAGAGCAACCGTAATTAACGGTACGACGTATCAGGTTCTTACATTTAAAGACTTACACACATGTTAACAAATGCAAG